ACACTCGTCCTCCGTGCGACTTATGTTCAAAACAATTACTGCCAAATACATTGACTTACAAATAAATGGACGACGGGTCTAATACAAATACCACGAAAAAAATGTCCCAAGTCAACCTATTCGAAATTTAAATTGTAATGTCATCGCAGTATCGCGCTGTCAGTAGAACAAATGAAGACTAAAGCGGAGTTTGGCGCACTGTATACGATTTTAGCGCCTTACAAGTGCGGACACTTTTTAGCGCGGACCCGACGTCCATTTAATTGTAAGTCAATGGCCAAATAAATAATACTCGACAATGTCAAGTATGAACCTTCATGCGTCCTCTAATTTGGTGGAGAATTACTTATTTGACATTATTTGTTTCAGACAGATATCGGACGGGGAACGAGAGTACAGGGCCTGGTTTTGTGTCTAAAGTGAAGGCGATACTTTCACCCCTGAAGTAGGTGGTAACCTGTGTCGCAGGGGTTTGAGTTCATCGGCCCACAATGTTAAACAAAATATAAGTAACTGAAGAAATCGGAAACAACGTCGGTACCACAATAACCCAGACCCGAGACAATATAAAAACAATATGTTGACCATACAAATATTTCGCCCGGCCCGGAATCGAACTTAGGGCGTGGTCGACCAGCACGGTAACTGTTCGGCCACGGAGGCAGTTAAAATTGAATCAACATAAGCACTACGGCACAGAAAAACAGTGATATTCTTGCATGCAGTAAGTACTATTTAAGTGCAAATGCCATTAATTAATTTCCACATTTAACGAACAAAATATATGAAGAGAAATTTATAAAAAAGAGAATTACACAAAAACTATTCAGAAATTAAACAAATAATAAGAACAAAAACAAAAATACGATACAAAATATACGAAAGTAACGGAAGATTTTGAGAGAAATTCAAGAACGTAAAACCACGAACCTAACCCTCCAACGATAGTTAACATGTGATTAAACGTGAAAAGTCAAATAATTATACCAAAACTTTTACAATTTCTGCACTGAAAATAAAGGGATACACAGGGAAACAAGATACAATTTAGTGTGATAATGTAACTTTTTTCCATCTAAGCCTATCAAGCATAATGATGAAGCAACAAGTACAATGATTGTAACAACAAGCACAATGATTGCAACGACAAGTACAATGATTGCAACAACAAACACAATTAATTATTTCCTAAATATTAAATAAACCCTATCTTCAACACTTGTTCTTCAAAGAAAAATTAAATAAACGCGCAATCTACAAAAGAGTAAAAAGCCCATATTTCTATTACATCACTGTTAACATGGTTTATCCATTATCCATTTTTGCGTTTGGCTGCGTTTATGTACCCTAACTTTACTTTTACAATATTATAATTCGGTACGAAACGATCTTATGTAACACAAAATAGCTCATTCGTTGTGAATTTCCTTTCTGATGGTTCTTAATTGGCAAGCAATGTTTTTCGTTAATAAATAGCTATTGTAATAATCTCAGTACAGAGTAATAAAATAACCGACCTCAAAAGTACGTGGAATTACGTCTATTTGCTAAGTTTTATTGAAATATCCCCTAGTTCGCCACTATACAGGACTTGACTCTGGAGATAATAAAAATCGGTTCTCACTACTCAAAGCATATTGAGAGAAAAACGCCTGGAATTGGAGAAATAGCAAAATCAACCATTAAAATAATTGCTCCTAAATTAAAGTTTAGGCGCTATTTACAAAATCGAATCTTCATGCGTGAACCCTTAGAGGTGGATGATTTTCTTCAAAATGAAATGGGACCACTATGGAAGTACCCCCTTTCCAACAAAAAAAGAATCATGAAAATCGGTTCATAAATACCGGAGTTATCGCGTAACATACATACAAAAAAAGAACATACAGTCGAATTGAGAACCTCCTCCTTTTTCGAAGTCGGTTAAAAATACAAAACTAAATTCAATCGCAATAGAAAAGTACACGGAAATTGATATTACAATTTGACCTGCGTACAATACAGTGGTCAATTAGTATAATAATAATATTTAGTAGCTACTGCTCCTTGTGAAAGAGTTCATCTAGGGAAGTACTTGCCACGTTACCTAATTCAGCCGCCAAGCAGTAATGTCAGCATTACTGTGTTCGGGTTTTGAAGGGTAAGTGAAATTAAAGGCACATCTCATCATCAGCCTATCGCAGTCCACTGCTGCACATAGGCCTCCACCAATGTGCGCCATTTCACCCGGTCCTCAGCTTGTCGCATCTATTTCCCGCCAGCAACCTTTCGCAGGTCTTCACTCCACCTGCCTGGAGGGCGTCCTACACTACGTTTGCCGAGTCGCGGCCTCCACTCTAGAACTCGTTTTCCCCATCGGTAATCGGTTCTTCGACAGATATGACCAGCCCTCTACCACTTCAGCTTGGTTATTGCACGAGCTATGTCGGTGACCTTGGTTCTCTGTCGGATAACCTCATTACGAATTTTATCCTTCAGAGAAACTCCGAGCATAGCCCGTTCCATAGCTTGCTGAGCGACTTAAAATTGGTGGACCAGCTGTACCGTGAGTGTCCACGTTTCGGCTCCGCAAATCATCATAAAGGCACATAAGAACTTTATATAAGATAAGACTTTTCAACTTTATGTCTTAGGGCGACGAGTGCAGTGGCAGTGCCCCTCAGATCTTTGCTATGTAAAGCTCTGAGTGGCACTGCAACTGTTATGGATAGGCGAGTAGCTTACTATCAGGCGCACGACTTGTTCGTCCCGTCACTTGATATTATTAAAAAAAATTCATATAATTTTTGAGATTACAGTCTGGCAATTGTTTCAGTCAAATTTCAGTACAATTCATTACCTTGTTTTTACCAGACTGCCTCAGTTGAAGAAAAATGTATTTCGGGTGCAAATTACATATACGTCTATTTGATGAATCCTTTGGTTTATCATGTAGTCTTGATATATTTAAAAAAAAAAAGGGAGTACGAGTAATAAGTTAGAAGCCTTCGTGTGTGTCTGAGTGTTGGATACCACAGCGTAACTCCCAAATGGATGAACTGATCTCAGAGCAACTTTTTTTTACTTGAAGGCTTTTTTTATGATATCAAGAAGTGAGTGTGAACAAGTCCAATCCAAGTGCAGTCAAGAATAGCTGGTGTAAGTTGTAAAGTAATACTCACATTACTGCTTGGCGGCAGAAATATGTAGGTATACTGGCAGTATTTCCCTGGATTGACTCTTTCACAAGGAGTTCTAACGCTAACTACTAAAAGTTGTAAGTAAAGCCTTCGTCTGGACGTTGCATCCAAGAGCACAAGTCGCACTTGTGAGTTCGTAAAGTCTCTTTGTTATTTAGCAGTTTAAGGCGAGGCATTTCGCTGCTCTGTTGCATTAGACTGATAGATCAATTTTTTTAAATAAATAAATAAATAAATAATACCCGGGCATCCACTCCGGGCCACACACACAAACCAAGAACAAATAGACTCAGAAAAAAATTACAAAGGTTTTCCCAAATTGGATCTACCGAAAATGGACATTGCATACCGTTGGGTCACGAGATAGAAATACTTAATAAAAAACTTAAATACTTAACAATGGCCGTCCTCTGTACATGAAAGACGTACCGATAAGAAGAAGTACCTTAAACTGGCGCGACATGAGAACCTAAGTTATACATTGCATGGCCCGTGGCGGCACAAGCTACTGACAATAGGATGCGCCCTGAAGCTTTACTCTTTTGTTATTTTGCATTCAAAGAAAATTTATTATCAATTCGTTCTATTTTGTTAAATTTTTCAACGAAGCCGCGCGGCGTATATTCTTTTTCATTTTTCTTTTAGAAAAATGAAACCTTATCTTACTGAATATAATTGAAGTATTGCTCGTTCTAATGAAGGTTGTTTATTAATTGCAATTTGTAGTGCATTTTTATCGATTCGCGCTTAGTCTCTTGTGAGACAGTGGTCGTCACGATTGATCCTGTATTTTGGAATACATTGGATATGTTGCTGGATACGCATAGTGTTTAGTGTTTAGTGGATAGTGTTCATTATTAAGTAATAATGTGATGCGAAGTTACTACTTAAAAGAGAAAAACAAACTCCAGACGTTTTTATAAAAAATTAAGTGCGAATTCTCCATCTCACCTAATATCTAAATAATGCCTATATAATCTCGCCTTGAAAAAGCCCAAATTATAGCGTGATATATCCTGTAGAATATGGATAAGCTGGCAACTTTACGGCGGTGTTCAAGGCTCTGCAGCCTCACCTCTACTAAATCCGAGGTCATGTGTGTCAAGTAATTATTGTTCGTTACCAGAATTAATGAAAACTAAATCAAATATATAACTAATCGTAACATAATCTGAACACTGAAACTAAACTTGTTTAACTATTAAGAAGCAATACAAGGATTAAAATGTCTACTTAAATGTACGCGATGTTCGCTACCGATGTACCCATACATCGCGCGATTACAAGCGATATCCGAGTGGGAATCAGTGGCGAGGCTTCCATATAATTTGATTCCCACAGATTTGACGACTCAGAGACTATTAAAACTTCCATAACTGCTTCGGGATGTGGAAGCATCATCGATGGGAGCATGTTCTGCAGTCGCACGGAGATTGCTTTGCAGGGTGCCATGAGTCGGATTATGATTAACACACTCAGCGCGGTATAACGGACAAAGATCGGATACTTTTGGGACACACTTCATAAATCTGAATAGGCCTTTTGCTTGACGCGCCTGAGGTACAATTCAATATTTAAAATATTTACTAATGAAGGAAAGGGAAGAAGTACGTCACGAGAGTTAAGCGTGAAACACACAGAGAGCGGGTGCGAGTCGGGCGTGTGTCGGGACCGCAGCGGGTCTCATCCCGTGTATTTATATGGACGACGACTGAATGTGAGCGCGTGCGCCCGCATTCATTCTCGCACCATATATGTTGCATTTAATAAAACTACGGTTAGTGTGTTAACATATTTCTTTTCACATTTTGTTTTAGTTATCTATGATACAAAACCTCTTGCTTTTCGGCTTTGAATGCTGTGTGTAACAATGGCGAAGGGTGGCTACATGTAGCAAAATACCAAATCTCTTCAATCAATTCCAAATTTTTACTATCTTCAGGTAATTAGTAGAATAAATTTCTTAGATATACCAATCACAATCTAGCTGTCTGAGTCCTTCGCCACTGTTATGTACTTGTGGCATTACGAAATATGCTTACAATTTTAGTATTTATGTTCTTTGCTGTAGTTAGATTTGTCACTCGCTGCCGTGCTAATGGTGCCGTCGTATTTTCCAAGTGCAGCTAGTCCATTGGCCTGCAAACAACAATTTTACAATTGATCATCACAGTCACAATACTCTCAAAGCATGAAACCCGTAGTTCCGGCTTGTTGTTTTCCCACATGGATAACGTACAGACTTGAGTTTCGATCGGGGCTTAAACTAAGGCCCGGCGCTAACTGGCGCCACGATTCGGCAGAGGATTCCTTGGCTTCGCTACACGCAAGCGCGTTGTAACAGCAATTATGCCGCGGTGTCTGTAAGCATGCCAAATCATCCTTAGGCATGCAACAGTATTCCGTCGCGATATCGTGCTCGCGCCTGGCCTCTCTTCAGATCTCCGCCCCCTCGTCGCCCTGCATACCCGTATAGTCAACTCGGCGGCCCGAAGCCTGCCGAAGCATCCCAAAGGCTGTCTAAGCATCCCAAAGATTCTCCAGCACTTTTCAGTAAGGCTAAGATCACTATAACTAGATCAAATGCAAGACCAAGAAATTATACACTTTTTAAAACCCATTCCCGTAGAACTAACATAGAGAGAGAACTAGTGTGCTCCATCGTAGTGACTTCCATCAGATGTGATGGAGATCAAAATTAAATGCCAACTTATTGTTTTTATAAAAAATATAGTATAATCTACCGTATTTGAAAGGCAGATATCTAGTCCATATATAAAACTTTCATAGATTTCTCATAGATGGCGCTACGACTAAAAAGTCGTTGAAAAACCAAATACAAAGACACGACAACAAGCACATAGAAAAATTCGTGAGGTCCGCTGGTTCGTTCCGTGGCTTAGTTGGTATAGCGTCTGGCACGGTATGCTAGAAGACGTCGGTTCGAATCCGGCCGGATCGAAGGAATTTTTTCTGAGTGTTCGATGTGAATGTTTTCTTTGTAATAATAATTATTATATAATGAACATAATAATGTGATTAGTGTTACATGTTTGTAATGTATTTTGTTTTAGATTCTCGCGAATGCTTAACATTTCCGCGGACCAACCCATCAACACCGGTTATTGTCTCAATAGAATTCAATGATTTTTTCTTTTTTTTTCATCTTTCGACCGTCACATTGTCAAAATCATCATTGCATATAGTGATACGATGATATATAAAATTATACAATGATAGAGATTTATTATTTAATAATCCGATTTTTAATTGCTTTACTCAATAGTAATATGTTTTTCTCAGACCTTAGTATATTTTCAGTAAATTATTGTAAGTTTAAATTTAAACTCGGCCGTTCCTCTACCGATATGCATAAAATTTGAAACTAGCTTAAAAATAACAATTCTTCAGGTTGCGAGCAAACCCAAATTTTGAATTTCAACCTGTAACTTAAGATAATTGAGGTTAATTGTTAAATCCATGGGAAATGAATTTGATTATACAATTTTACGCCTGCAAATGTTCAGAGCTATAAAAAAAAAGAAAAAAGAAAAATAAAAAACTACTGCGCTTCGGTATATTCCGGTCCAATATTCCGCCTAGTAATTTTTAACAAAATAGTAACTATGTTCGACGAAATTTAAGCACCCTGATAAAAGATATCATTATAGCTATTTGTTCAGTAAACAATTTGGGCTACGACATAGCATTTACATTGTTTACTTTGTTCGACGTTCGTTTGTTTTGTTTGATTATTTGCTGTCGCCATGTCGGCACACGGCGTGTGTCACATTTTGAAGAATTAATTAAACCTAATAATATTTACGTTGTCTGTTTGGAAAACGTTTTGTCTGAGTAAATTGGTTCAACATTCCCAGTTTTAGCGGTTTCGTTCTCGAAACCCGTGGGACAAATTTAGAATACTAACGTAGTAATAAAAACGTGATATTGATATTACATTACGTGTTATATGAGCGGTAAAAAAAAAATTACGAGTGTTTGGTAGAAGCCCGAAACTAAAGGCATGAGGGGCATTAATGACTCCAGGTTTGCAACTTTTACCGCCCGTGTTACATACAATGTCATTCGTCGTTATTCGCGAGGAAATAGATGCAACGATAATTTATTTCTTTTATGAATAAATATTGCTTCATAAATCACAACACAACATTTACGGATTTTGCAAATGAAATTTGCAGATTATACACCTCGAACTAAAATGTTATAAAAAGCACAAACGCATGCAGCCACAATGTATTTGTATATTAAATATTAAATAAATCATTTCAAATCCTAAAAATACTGCAGAATTTGAATTCACAAAATAAATTTAGTAAAATATAGTTAAACTGGAAATGTTTAATTTTTTTTTTATACTTCAAGTTTATGCGAAATATACGTTAAGATTTTTCGAGCACAAAAACTTTTTGCTTAATCTTGACGTAAAAAATCAAAAAGCCCATGAGCGTGACTTTAACTTTGCCTGCATGGCACTGTTTATGAGCTAGGGTGAAACAAATATTGCAATTAAGAAAAGCTTTGCACTTCCCAAAATAATTGGTCCAAATCCTCATCCTCCTTATTCAGCGCCCACAGTGCAAGCCATTGAGCCATCGAGGTCGCCAAAATTGTGTTAATCTCTGTCACATTGGAGAGTTTTGCTCAAAATGATTTTTGACGACTGGCAGTATCGTCTTAGTAACATCTTAGGACCAACTAAATCTTTATTTGGCTCACGAATGCGGTTATTCTCCGCAGAGCCACGACATTAATCTTGTCTCGTGTGCCATGACACCTAAATATTGAGACAAGTATTGTAACTTCAAGTAAAGTAGCAACGTAGCTATAATGTGTACAAGCTCGCCTCGCGTCATATATAGACGCATACATCCGAATAACCTCGCGCGGGATTCGCGTTGCACAGCGCGGGTTCTCTGATGCACTATTCATTACACAATTGAAGATTTTGCTCAGTGTTCAAAAAATGATATCAAATTGTATATTATTTTTGTTGTGCTTATGGTTGTTTGAACAAGAGTGTCTCAAAATCAGAATTATTCAGCATTGTAGGAAATGAAACTATTTTTCCGGATTTAAATCGCGTATATTTGTTTTTTCAAACAAACCGACGTTTCGGGCCCTTTACGGGTCCCATGGTCACGATTGATTTAAATCCGGAAAAATAGTTTCATTTCCTATGTGTAACAATCGCGAAAACATAAGAACTCGATATTCAGCATTGTATTTTTACTTCATAATCATGATACCAATCCACGATATTGGTATAAAAATATCATTATGAAGCACTTTATTTGACAAAGCTTATTTCAATATAGCACAAGAATACTGTGATGAATATCTACGTGTTTACAACTCGTTGCACCTAATAACTAAAAATAATAATGTGACAACCCTACGCTCCAAGCAAAGTGTAAGCATTGACAAGCAGTTGGACTACTCATCGTATTATACTACAATAATGCTTTTAATTCATAAAGACCTAAATTATTCTAGTCGATTACTTTATGAAACAAGCGATCAAATTGAGTTCACTGTTGTCACTGTGGTTTGTATCCTAAATCTTTACCTTAGCCCTCTTCAACAACTCCTGTTGCGCTTTCTTAACATATTCATCCTTTCCTGCCCAGGTCTTCCAGACAGAGGCTTGAAGAGCCCGACCATAACTGAAGGTAAGCATCCACGGTTTCTTCATGTTCACTCGGTTGATAGCATTTAGGTTCTGTGTCGCTTCTTCTTCAGATTGACCTCCAGAAAGGAAGGTTATTCCTAAAATACAGGAATAAAGACATTCTCAATTTTGTTTAAGCATATAAAAAATAGAGAAACGTTTGGCCATTACTTGTAGGGCTAGCACGACATGACGCTACTTGCACGAGAGCGACATGGAAGCGCGAGATATTGCTATTCTCTACGCGATAATATCTCGCGCTTTCATGTCCTATAATGCTGACCCTAATGATGTTAAGCTATGGTAAGCGTTTATCTAAAATACCTATTTACTCTCGCCGTGGTAGCATAATGTTTTGACCTACCTCCTCTCAAGTAGAGACTGTGGTTTCGAATGCGGGCTCGCACCTCTGAGTTTCTCGAAATTTATTATTTTACGGCATGAGTGGTGCATTAATGACACAAAGATGGAATGTACCAGACTATTCGGTATTCGTTGACCGAAGGAGGAACGGTACCGGTGGTATTAAATTGATAAGTTTGTTTGAAAATTACGATGGATTACGACTAAAATTTTATATATTGGCTTGAAAACTATGGTAGCGTTCTCCAGTAATATTTCAATGAGAAAATTTTACCTGGTACTGCAGCCGGTACTCCTCTTAGCAAAGCAGTGACTGTGGCTTTTGCGATTTCTTCTGTTGAGCTTCTTTTTGAGCATCCTTGTCCAGGAGTCACCTGTAAAGTAAAAATCATAGATATAGAAAAAAAGGGTAAAAATGCTTACAATTATTATATCCACGTTGACTATGAGGTTAGGAATATTACTAGAGACGTACCCATTTTACCCCTCGTAAATAAAGATAAATAAATAATAGCATAGTCTAATTAGACAAGTTGTAAACCTAGCAGCGCGACTTGTATGTTTTTTTATGATACTAAGAGACGGGGTGAACAAATCGTGCACCTGGTGGTAAGCGACACGCCTATCCGATCTGAGGGGCACTGCCATTGCATCCGTCACCCCGGGACATAACTTGACAAGTCCCATGTGCCTGTTATTTCACCAGAACCCTTACCTTTCAAAACCGGGAAGCAGTCAAGGTAAGATGGCAGTACTTCCCTGGACCAACCTTTCACAAGGATCTCTACTAGTACTAATGTGTGCACGCTAGCCGCACAGCCGTGACGGACGCACACATTCGCATAATCTCGCGGTGCACTCGCGTTGCATAGCGCAGGTCATCGCACGCGCTATTCATTAAAGAATTGAAGTCTGGTTGAACCAGCGGAAGTGCGTCACCACGTTTCCGTGAGTATCTGAATTGTATAGGATGCGAGTCGATAACCAGGAAGGGACCAGGATTCCGCTCAGCACACGCTGGAGTAGTGCCCGACGTGAGCCTCCGAGTGGAACTGGTTGCCCGGATTGGGAGAGATCTCTCTCCGCCATGCACAGCATGCTGGCCGTCAATCAAGAGTCCCATGAGGCAATGATCTCCTTTTGTGAAACGGTGATGCTTCAGAAGGACCTCCTTCCTCCTGCCGAGAGTGATCGGGAGAGAGCTAATCCCGCTCGGCGGTGGTGTACCTTCGCGGTTGCGGCCGATCGGAGCGGGGGCTAAGTTCGCCAGTAAGTTTGGGAGCCGCGAGGAGGACAACAGGGCGCTGTGATAAGCTTCGTCGTGAGGAGAGGGAACGGAAGGACGTAGCTCCTCCCAAGTGATGAGGGGTTCCGGTGCGCAAAGTCGATCCCAGATCCCTCCCACTAGAGCACCCGAGAAGATCACTGTGGGTTTTAACCGGTAGAAGTTCGGCTAACCTTTCCGCTGGCCTCGCGACGGAGAGGTATCCTAGGAGGATTTCCCCATTAAAAAAATGGTAGATAATAAATAACACATACCATATTCGGTTTCAATAAAGTTCCTTCTAAGAATACGTGATGATCACTCAAAGCCTTGTACACAGCAGCTAACACAACTTCCGTTACTTTCTGTGCTCGTACAATATCATGATCGCCTGGTAACAAAAACCAACAACATGGATATTTTATAGTAATGAAGCAAAGACGTCATATTTTCAACGTGAGTGGAGCAAGAGATTGATCAATCAATCTTCAAATAAATTTGCTTAAGCAGCTCGATCAGCTTTGGTTTTTGTCGCTACTCTCTTTGATGAGCTCTGGATTGATTGAACTGCTTTTTTGTTGACATGTCGCACCCCTAATGGAATAATACATTTTTTTTATTGAATACCATGATGTTTTTACTACCGTGATTTATTCATGTATTTTATGAGAAAATACTTCATTAGTTTTTCTTGTTATTATAGATGCAATGTTCGAACAAACACAAATAAAAATGCCTTCGATCTCTCTGAACTCGAACCAGACTGTTTGCCAGACCGGTGAGAGCGGTAGCGCCGTTAAGAGTCTATACTACCCAAGCTCGATTCCAAATTTTGCCCTTACTAATACGGTTCATTTTGCTTGGGTCAACCCGCAGGGACACTGGCCTTATTTCAGAATTTATTTTTTACAAACGGAATTAAAGCTATTTGAAAAATGTATATCATATAAGTATACGTGTTTTATTTAGTTCAGTTGATATAAAAAAGCATTGGTACTATTCATTGACTTACAATTATATGGACGTCGGGTCCGCGCTAAAAAGTGTCCGCACTTGTAAGGCGCTAAAATCGTATACAGAGCGCGACACTCCGCTTTAGTCTTCATTTGTTCTACGGACAGCGCGATACTGCGATGACATAACAATTTAAATTTCGAATAGGTTGACTTGGGACATTTTTTTCGTGGTTTTTGTATTAGACCCGTCGTCCATTTATTTGTAAGTCAATGGTACTATTACACTATTGAATATAGCGGTTTTCTTGTAAAATTTCGAGGCAAGTTTGTGATTATTTTCCGTCGTGAAATTTTTTAGAAATCGTGTTTTCACACCATATAGTAATTATAATAAATTCTATCACTTTCTTTTTTTCTCATGAATTAGATTAAGCCTTATCAAAATTTGGGAGAGGACACTGGCTCCTGTCACACAGGTTATACCTAGCATAGGAATCAGGAACTTCATTATTATGTTGTAAACTATTTTGTGAAATAAACATTATTATTGAACATTATTATTATTATTCACATTTTATATAAAGCGCTTTTTATACAACAATCATTTTATATATTGTCAAATTCAGATAATTTTTACAAGGTGTTTACCTGTAATGTGTGCCACTCCTTTAGTGGGTTAGGTGAGCACATGAAAAAGCTGAACAGAATTTGTTTGCGTTCCTGAACATTTTTTCGATCACATTTATCTCAGTTTAATAATCTACTTAATTAAATAACTAAACTGAGGTTTACAACTAATTTATAATTGTTATTTAAAATGAGTGTTAGAGTCATTGACTTACAATTATATGGACGTCGGGTCCGCGCTAAAAAGTGTCCGAACTTATAGGGCGTTAAAATCGTATACAGAGCGTCATTCACGCTTTAGTCTTCGTTTGTTTCTTCTGACAGCGAAGCAAGCAAAATTAGACAGTACTGCGATGACATAACAATTTAAATTCAACGTTTTAGCTTTTTAATATTCCTTTACATGTCACTACGTTTAAATAGGTTGACTTGGGACATTTTTTTCGTGGTTTTTGTATTAGACCCGTCGTCCATTTATTTGTAAGTCAATGGTTAGAGTTGATCATTATTATCAAAAATGAACATTACATTTCTTCTTTTAAGTTTATTTTTCTTCCACAAAATACAATTTATTATAGCTAAGAATAGTTTACACGTTAAGCTTTGGTAATAATTTTGTGGGAGACTGATGCCTAAACTAAGCATAAAGATGCCTGTGCGTCGGGGCACCAGGTTCCCATTTTCCAGAAATACCAGTTCAAAAAATCTTTACACAAGCTATTTTTAACACTACTAGCAACGACGAAAAATATTGTTAAGTCGCTTCTCAATCCACGGATACAAACATGAAATTAGTTGAATCTTGCGAATTAGAATCTCAAAACTATTATATTAATTGAATTGTTATATTAAATAAGTTTATATTACATAAAATTATATTAAATGAGCGTAAGGATAAAAATACTTATATCATACATTACAATAAACCCGCTTCATGTGATAAATGTTCAATGCGGAAAAGAAATAGGTCTCATATCCATCTTTGGCAAATTAGAATTATGAAATGAAACTACTTTTTCGGTGGCGTTTTTCAAATAAAACAACGTTTCGAATCTACAGGTTGCTAACACATTGACTGCATATTTGCAAAGTTGCACTCAACCCCTGAAGAAGACCATCGATTATGGTCGAAACTAGTCGGGTCGCTTCCGACTAAAATACTATGGGAGTAAGTCCCGTTACTTTTATATTATAATGCATATTTGCAGTTAGTGCGTGAAGTCGCTATCAACTTCATGTAGTCGAAGTCTCGGATAACGTTTTGCAGTCAATCTGTTAGCAACCTAGAAGTCATGGTACTTCTAGGCTGCTAACAGATTGAGACAAGAGCCGACTGAATCTAAGATCTCAATAAAAATTAGAATTTCTCTATACTGGAGGATTTCTCTTTCTCTTGTTCCGATTTTTCGAAGTAAAGGGTTGGCCAAAAAAGTCCGTGCGGTATCAAAGTGTAAATTAAAAACATTTTAAAAATAAATATCCATCTAAAATCAATTATGTGTGGTGCCTTATTGATTTACAATCTTTTGCCACCTTTGCGAAAATTTAGAATTCCCTTTCATAAAAAAATATGTCTTTACTAATAAAATACGGCGGTAACGTCCACTTGCACTAAACTTAAATCTATTTATAAAACCGCATAAAAGTAAAGAGTGTAAGAAGAAAAGATGATCTAATAGCAAATACTTACCATCCAACAAAATATCAGGTTCAACGATGGGAACCAGGCCCTCGCTCTGACAAATCGCAGCGTATCGGGCCAATACTTGAGCAGTGTCCTGAATAGCTTGCACTGAAGGTGTATGTTCACCAATCTTCAGAGGAGCTCTCCATTTGGCAAAACGACAGCCTTGCTTTTTGTACTCTGCACAGCGTTTTGCTAAATCGTCGAGACCTGGAACCATAGAAGAAATTTTAGCAGATTTTAGCAACATTTATGCAATGAAAAAAATAAATATAAAAAATAATACACAGCTGACTAAATATGAAAAAGACGAAAATATTAAAAACAAATTTATTTTATTTCATTTAATGAACAAAGTTTCAACAGCATTCTTAAAATTATCTGACAAATGTGTTTTAAGCTGTTCAAAAGCCAATTGGAGAAACTCCCTACGTATACGAAATATTTTTTTTAATTAAGTCTATTACAAAATACAGTGCAAAAATAAAGATAAATACTACAAACGCTACGGGCAACTCCTAAAATTGTTTCATCTTTGTGAAAATAAATCAAAATCAGAAATAATAGATATAGCAAAGTTTCGAACCGGAATATGGTCTCATAATAATAACAATATTGCAAAAACAACGTAAGAATATTTACTTATTCATTTCTTTCCTTCGCGACACCATTTTTTATATCGCCTTTCATAAAATTTACTTTACCTTGAGTAGTAACTTCATCTTCAGACAAAAACAGTGGAACCGTATCTCTATCAACCTTGATGCCAGGTATGATATTCTTCTTCTTAAGCAACTCTATGAATGGGGTTCCATCATCCGTCTTCTGGTATACTGTCTCGTCGAAGAGTATTGTTGCTGATATATTATCTGATAGAGCCTAGAAGAAATAGATTCATGTTCAGGAAGTTTCTTTAGCATTTATCAACGTTGAATTTATTGCAAAGACACTTAAAACTTTTCGAAGACATATGAAATCCCGAAACTACATACAACTGCCTCCGTGGCCGAATGGTTACTATGCCGGCCGGACTGCCACGCTGAGGTCCCGATTCCCGGGCCAGGAGAAATATTTGTATGACCTACATTTATTTCTCTCGTGAGTTTGGGTGTAATTTGTGGTTGTCTATGTGCGTGTCCATGGCACCCGCGACACAGGGTTTCCCTAGTGCGGGGCTACGTTGAGTGTGTGCGTTATTATTATTAAAAAACTATGTCTATGTTTACTTAATAAAAATGTATATATCAGAAATTTCACTATAAAAAACTTAAAGGAACAGAGCTTCCAAACATTAAATGGAACTTCGCAATATTCTAACATATAAATGAGTATCATTTTATGAAATATGTATTTATTAAGTATTCATATAGTTTTAAATTTGTTTTACATTCTTTTGTTTGATGGTGCACGTAAACCCGTATTGTAATTATAGAGTCCTGTAACTCGGTCTGCAGGAAGAAATGTCTTTCAGAAATAATAGTAATGGTTTCTTTTCTCAACACAAAGAAATAAATATACACTTATTTTACAATAGACCAACAATTGTAAATGTTGTATCCCTCGTAAGAGACTAGAGATCGTACTAGGCAACTAAACCTGTATTACAACTCACCAGGCCCTCACCCTCTCAGAGTTCAGCTCTTAAAGTCAGTAATCTTAAAAGAAAAACCAATATACTGGTCAGCAACAAAAATTGTAAATGCTGTCTAATTATGCTAAAAATATCTTAATGTATACAAGTGTGAGAGCGTGTGTGTCACCATTAGGTTCCTACTGTGTTCCGGTTTTATAGGGTATAAGAGTGCTGTGAAATTACAGGCACATGTTAAATTAAGACTCAGGGTGACGAACGCAGTGGCAGTGCCCCTCAGATTTTTGCGATTAAAAACTCTGAGCGCCACTACAACTGTTATGGATAGGCGTGTAGCTTACCATCAGGCGCACGACTTGTTCGTCCCGTCCCTTGATATTATAAAAAAAAACCTAAAAATAGTTACATGAATACGGCAAGAAAGGTTTTTAGTTTCCGAGTAATCTAGTATTTGCAACCAATTGGAAATTACATATTTACACTCATATTTGGTAAGTTCATATATGTGTAATGAAAAATTTAGTTTGTTATATAAAATAACCACTCTGAAAGCAAATGAAGCGTTGTGTTAAATAGCTATCAGCGGCGAATAGTAGAAAAACAGCGTGTTTGTGGCGTATAATAAGCAGTGAGTGCATCTTTTGTGTGTGTTTTCCTTTTTACTTAATGTAAATATATAATTAGTAGTAGTAGGAACACCAATAGCAAATGTATTTAAACAATTTACACAAACTTGACTAACCATTAACACAATACACAAACCAATTACAGACGTATACAACATTCAGTGACGCCTCACTACTAAGTTAATTTATGAGCTGCAAGAACGCTAATATTATATTAAATTAAATTCGCACCCTGAAGACAATAAGGCTACATCTGCAAAACCATAACTTTTCAAGAGAGAGGTTTAAAGATTCTACGAACGAAATTAATCGGTTTTTTATGATTAAATAGGAGAGTTACTAAAGATCATGGCCTCGATTTAAGAGCATGGATCGATTTAAAGCTCTGATTGGCACTGCAACTGTTATGGACATGCATGTAGCTTATCATCAGGTGCACGACTTATTCGTCCTGTCTGTAGATATTATAAAAAAAATACATAATAATAAAAAGATGGCCCACAAATTGAACCTGTTAATGGATATTTGCGTACAAAAACCACTTCAGTTTTAAATCATGCATTTAAATATAAACTATTTTTTTAAATTATGTAAAAAAACGTTTAAAATATACGGGACATGTAACGGGGCAAGATTTTGATATTTAACATAATATCGTCGCTGGAAAGGCAAAAGTGCTAACGTGCATTTGAACAATTTTACAGGAGAGCGATTTAAAGTCTTTTTTTTAAGAAAGAAAATCATAACTATTTAGAAAATTTTAGTTATTGATGAGGACTAAAAAATGCCTTTGACATATATGGCCAAAATTTGTTAATACTCCAAATATACGCCACATTAGAGAATTGGGTTTTGTCATCAGCATTCAACTTTGTACATTTTATTATACTGGCCTTATACTTCGCAAAGGAACCAAAAAAACATCAAGATCAGGTAAAACGGCATTGAGTTCATTATGAGTGCAGTATCTAACGAGAACGAATCACTTTTTAATCTTAAAACACGACTTTCCCGAAAATTCTGGACAATACTCATGTCATTTTGAGAAATGAAAGTGTCTATTCATTTGATTTACAAGAAAGCGCTCAACTTTATTCTCTCGCATTTCTTTTATGACGCTTTTAAAGCATATTTCTTATCACCAAGATATTGAAGGAAAATGTAGGCGTTATTTCGTAAATCTATATTTTCACCACTGCCTTAATGGCTCAACGCTTTTGCCTTTTGTAAAATAATGATTAATACAACGGTTGAATATGACGAAAAATTTCTTCGGACATGATCTGACAGGACAGGACTCGATCCCTGCGTCTGCATTCCAAACAACAGGCACTGCTCTACCAACTAAGTTACAGATAGAGTCAGCAGAATTCACAAATTTCTCTAGAACAAACTATTAGGCCTACTGCTTAACTGAGTCGATTCCTGGGGTAATGCCACATGGTTTGTATAATCCTTTCAATTATCAATGAAATAATTATTAATATACAAAGATCTACCAATCACAAATAAAACCAAAGTCTTCTAGCAAACCATGGCAGACGCTATGCCAACTAAGCCACGGGAAGAACCAGCAGACTTTACGAATTTTTCTTTTCTTTCTTTTTGGTTTTTAACGACTTTTTTGGCCGTAGCGCCAACTGTGAGATATCTATTGCTTCACTCAGCCAGGTACCTTTACAGCTACCAGTAACTGACCGGAGATGTCGTTTTAATAATTGTAATTAAGTTTATTTAAAATTATTACAGCCATTGTTTGTCAGGAAACATTCTGACATTATTATCGTTTCACATAACAATTGACTAAATTAGTAGGCACTTTTTTCAATCAACTTGCTATTGAATATCGTAAGAAAAATGTTGTTGAAATTATCCCGAGTATTTCTCACAAATGGCGCTACAGCCAAAAAATTCGTTAAAAAAACAATACAGATTACTAAAAAAATCGACCTTAAAAGTCATTCGTCCCTTAGTTTGCCACCCTTAGAGGTGGAATATTGTCTTTAAATTTAAATGGTACCCTCTTTCCAACAAGAAACGAACCAACAAAATCGGTCCACAAATGCGGAGTTATCGCGTTACGCGACAATACATGCAAAAAAAATCATACAGTCCAATTGAGAATCTCCTTTTTATGAAGTCGATTAAAAACCAAAAACAAAGATCATGAAACGAGCACAAAGTAGAATTCGTAACAGCATTGGAATTTCTTGTAAGTGTTCGATCTTTGTATTAATAATTATTTCATTGATAATTGAAATTAATAGACAAGCCATTTGGCACTACCCTAAGAACCGACTCAGTTAAGTGGTAGGCCTGTAGTAGAGTAATTTCACAAATAATAAATGAATATCATAATATTAAATAACATTCAAAATAAATGGTAAAATGTCTAAGAAATCTATTACGTATATTTATTTTATTTCATATAAGTGCCCACAAAACATACACTCCTAAATAAAAAGTGGATGTGGTGTGGGAAGACAATTGCTTTTTATTTAAAAAATCGACCGGTTGACGGTTGGTAATATGACGTACATTTGTGAATGTACATATGATGGGCTCTGATCAATGTCGTCTCCGAAGGCGGGAAGGAAGCTCAAAGTTATGACGTGGGGTTTACAATAAAGCTTGACACAATAGATGTATAATGCACAAGATCCCTAGAACGGCTCGCCTATGTAAATTGAGATCCCATTGTTCCCAAACTGTCAACAAAATAAACGTCGGTCTATGGGGTTTATTTATTGGATTAGATTATACTTTTGGTCATTTATCGAATAATTTTAAGCAGTTTGTAAAACAAATAACATAAGCTTGATAAAGCATACTTCCTTAGTAATAAATCCATCTCAAATGCAGGACCGAAATGATTTGGAGCAGTACTCATAATGGACCTATTTCTATTGTTCCTATTTCTGTTGTTGAAGCAAACAATTTTTATTCTATGACTTTTGATTATTCACATTTGTTTTTTTATTAGACTTCAAAATGGGAGGTTCTCAATTGCACTGTCTATTGGTTTTAATTTTTTAGTTTGATATCATTGACTTACAATTATATGGACGTCGGGTCCGCGCTAAAAAGTGTCCGCACTTGTAAGGCGCTAAAATCGTATACAGAGCGCCAAACTCCATTTGTTCGACTGACAGCGCGATACTGCGATGACATTACAATTTAAATTTCGAATAGGTTGACTTGGGACATTTTTTTCGTCGTTTTTGTATTAGACCCGTCGTCCATTTATTTGTAAGTCAATGTTTGATATTTAATTATTCTTGTGAAATGACTGCACTAGTTTGTAATAATTATTAATACAAAGATTGAACACTTAGAAAAGATTTCTTCGATCGTACTGGATTCGAACCAGTGTATTCCAGAAAACCGTGTCAGGCGCGAACGAACTATGCGAGTAAGACCGTTAATACCACCATAAGATTTAACAATAAAACCTTGCAAATTTTTCTTTGTGCTAGTTGCAGATTTTTGTTTTTTTTTAACAATTTTTTGCCGTAGCGCCATCTGTGAGAAATCTATTTCTTCTCTCATCCAGGTGGTACCTTTACAGCTACCAGCAGCTGACTAGAGATGTCGTTCTAATATTTGTAATTTTTAAGTTTATTATTGTATCTCTCGTACATACGCGTCATGCTTATTCTTAT